GTATGTATGTATGTATGTATGTATGTATGTATGTATGTATGTATGTATGTATGTGTACAACATAAGAAAACTGGATGTAAATTGTAAACAGTGATTTGAAAAGGATTAGAAAATTTTGTTATTGAATATTAGGGATGTTTAGCTAGAATAGGACACAAGGATTCAGTGTTAGTGGAGGATTTTAGAAATAGCAAACGAAAGGCCAGTATGTGGTTATGTATTAAATCTTGGTATATTTTATGATGGACGTTTAAACAATTATAGTCAAATGAAAATGGAGATATGATGATGGTAACATGTATAAATATCTGAGTTAAAATACCTGAATTAATATGAAGTATGTTTGTTGACTGTGGAAGAGATTCATGAAAGTCTTTTTGTAACCAACTGATACACTTTCTACAGCATGTAAAGAAGGATGTTGTGTTTGTTTTGAAAATTAAAAATAAAATAAAAATATATTTAAAAAAGTCTTTCATTGTTTGGTTTTATTTTTGAAATCAGTCCTTTCCCAATTTCCATGGTGGAAATAGCACCATTGATCACAAACACTGTTACTGAACAGGATGTTTGAAGGAAAATCAAACAAGACAAGAATTCACAAGTAAATAAACAGATTCTAGTTCTGTTTAACAGACTACTTTTGCCTTTCTTTTGGATTTCCTACTCTGATATCCACTTTCTGTCATCATTATGCCATACTGACTGCAGCAAGATTTTTTTCTTAAGGTTCCAAAACTGCTCAGTGAAAAAAAATTCTTGAAAGCAGGTTAATGAAACAGGCAAATAATAAATTTCAGAAGCAAATAAGATATGCAGGACAAAGTGGAACAATTTCCTTTTATTGTGTCATCAGAGATATTTTAACTTCTGTGGAGCCTGTCATCTTTACTCTCCCTCAAGCCATTTTCCAAAATCACATTTCTTTTCATTGTAAATACAATTTCATAAGAAAAAAATGGGACTCTTAAACAGTGCAATTAAATAACTATTGTGATGATCAACCAAATCTCTAGTCAAATTCTTCCACAGATTGAAATATGTCAAAAATTCATACCATTAGCACAGCTGTTACCTTGTACACTGGAAAGAATTAGATAAGCCAAGCTTTGGGCAACCTTTAAAACATGTCAGATACTTCTAGATAGAATCCAATATCAAAGGGGAATTTTGCACCAGATTGGCTTTACGTATGCATGAAGACAAAGATAGTGCTGCTATCCTGCTGTGCATATCAAAGACTGATTTCAGAAAGCGTAACATTGCAGAGAATCTCTTAGTCCTGTTCAATTAATCACCACATTAATCAAATAAGATTTCATAATCTGTTATTGAAGCTAGAATAGGGAACTCTAATCTTGAAAATTAGGACCAGCAAAATTTATTTACTTTTTTGGAATGGAAATATATATTCTGTTAATTTCTCCTCTTATCAGCTATGGTTTATGGTCATATAGAATTGAACGGCATGATTTAAATTTAATACAAAGAGGCGTAGAAATTGTTCTACCGGTACATCCAAATACCAGCCTAGGAGAGATGCCTCAATGGTGGCCAAAAAAGAGAGGAATCTCTTTAAAGCAATCCTCTCCAACCTGATTAGCAAAGTTCCCATCGCTCCAGCAACATGCCCCAAACTCTTAACATGAAGATAGAAGGTGACAGAAAACACATTTTGATGCATGTGAAGAGACAACTAAATTAAGAAAGGGTATTATAAAGGAATAAATTCCATAGGTTCTCATTGATGGTCAATTTCTCTTTTTAGTGCTAGGAGGGCTTAGTAACACAATGATGATCTTAAGCCAATGCAGAAGATCTGGAATTATTTATATGACCATTATCCTAAGGCGTGAACTATAACTAAAAGGGGTGTGTGTTTGTGTATAAGATTTTGTGAAGGAAGCACTATCTAACTAATCTAGCTCTAGACAGAGTTGTAGATACTTCATGCCATCGTCCTAAAAGAGATCCTCCAATGGGATATGAAGGAGAACAATATCCCCCTTGCTGCAAACTCTGAGCTGAAGCAGCAGAGGAAGTACCACCTTTGGCAGGCTCCCAGTTAAACGCTACTAGAGGACTAAACTTGGGCATGCGGGGAGGGGTTTCCCTACGGTGGTTCTCTGGGGCTTCATTTCCCTTTTAATTATCACAATGAGAATCAATAAATATGTACATTTTATAAAAATAGGCTCATTAAAAAAAAATCCAATTATCGTTAAAAACTAACATTTCTTATTACGCTCCTGACAGAATAACCCTTTAGATGGACTCATACAGTCTTCAGGCCCTGATTCAGGACAGCAAGGAAGTCCCATCGAAACCCAGAACAGCTCCAGGATTCTTCTCATCATGTATGAACATTAACAGGGTCGTATTTTCCTGAGCCCTTCATAAATCACTGGAGAAGGGATCGAAAGGTCAGGAAGGAATCTCATGACGCCATCCAAATGGCACAAAGGCACAGTTACTTTTAAGAGTCTTCAACATTCACTAAATTCTTCTTTTCAAGTTGTGACTCCTCAGACTGCTCTACTGAAGTCAAAAATGTCCTTTAAAGTGACCAGGAGTGAATCTAGGCCTCTATAAGGTCCTTGATGTCTGCATATCTGGTAGAAAATGAAAACATAACTGAAGATGATTATCAAGAAAAGGAGTCCTTAAAATAGGGAAAAAAGGGAGGGTTTGTTTCGACTATTGTCAGTTCTCTGCATAATGCCCATCAAATCACTGGGCCTGGCACCCAAAGGGACTCAACCGCCTCAGTGTAGCTCTTTAGGCTTTAAACTCCTGGGTGCGGTGTGAGAAATGTGGGCTCTTCTAAAAAGTTCTTCATTTCTCCATTAGGACATGACATAGACCTCCGTTAAGCTAGCAACCGCATGCATTCGGTAGAAGATGCCGAAGGGTAAGCAGATGTCCACAATAGCAGCCCACATGGGGTAACCATAGAATTCAAGCTCTGTGGTATTATCAAATTGTGGCCGGGCTCCAAACGCAGGCATAATCCAGAGCTGTTTGGGAAAGAGACAAAGATAACAGCACTGTCAGCAAGTAAAAACAAGGAAGAACGAGACTAGCGAGGCCCAGTTTTTGATGCAAGAGCTACCTCGATGTGAGATTAAACACAGGGCAGCCTGATTCCAAGAGCATCAGAAGCAATGCCATCTAAGTATAAACATTTAACTGACATGCCTCTGTGTCACTGAATTCTTTAAGGCAATGAATGACCCTGATCCAAAAGAGTATGGAGTACCCTAGAACAGTGTTTCTCAACCTTGGCAGCTTTAAGATGTGTTGGACTGCTGGTTGCAGAATTCTGAGAGCTGAATTCTTGAGCAATTTTGGGTGGTTCAAAATAACAGCAAGATTGAGAAAGACTGCCCTAGAATTTTGTTAATTTTTATTTACCCCAAATATCTATGCCTAATGGACAAGAGCCATACATCTTCTCCTGCAGTGCCACAATCTACTCCCCCTCCTTCATGCCAGTTTCCCAGTATTTTTTACGAATGCCAGATGCATATTTGCATTTCCTTTTCCGTCACAGAAAGGGTATTGCAGCCCAGTCAGGATAAAAATGAGAGATGATCCACTATAACGTGTCTTGGGGCTTTCTAGAGAAAAGGTGGAATATGACTGGACAAAATGTAAAAGTCACTAATTTATTCAAACTACTTTGGTGCAGTCAAATATGCACAAAAAACAGCAAGTACTGCAAGGCAATCTTCCACAAGTCAAATTCAGCGTTTCCCTTCATTTGCAATGTGTGCAGAACAGCACACCTAATTGTTGTTTATTACTCAGTCCTGCCTCTCCTCTTGCTGCTTCTGCAGCTCCTTTTATTTTAAAAAAGATGCCAAATTTGTATTTATTTGTACAGCTTTTAAATGGTTGAAAAACAAATGGAGGAAGGGAGGGAGATGGCTTTGCATTTACTCCACTTTCCACCAACAAAACTAGTTTCTCTTAATATAAAATCTGGGAAACTGAACATCATTAAACAGAATTTAGAGAACATCAATTTACTATATCACACTAGTCAATTTATACACAACCGCTACTCTCTTTAGAATGCTACTTTTAAAAAGACCTGGAAGAAATGGATGGCTCAGCTGATCCTTGGCCTTTTTTTTGGATATAGACATCACCTATCACATGAAAGGTTTCATACTTCTCTTCCTCTCCTCTTTGTTATCTGACAGTGATGTGAAGCACAGTAAAGTAAACAATACAGTAACACGTTTGGATCAGAGGTGGTATTCAGCGGGTCTGACCAGTTCTGGAGAACTGTTAGTGGAAATTTTGAGTAGTTCAGAGAATCGGTAAATACCACCTCTGACTGGCCCCACGAGTCTCAGCTGATGAGGAAGAAATGGGGATTTTGCAGTAACCTTCCCCTGGAGTGGGGAGGGAATGGAGATTTTACAGTATTCTTCCCCTGCCACGCCCTCCAAGCCACACCATGCCCACCACGCTACACCCACAGAACTGGTAGTAAAGATTTTTGAATCCCACCACTGGTTTGGATTCCAAGAAGAAAGAAAAGAAAACTCAAGTAGGGGTAGCAGCTCCATGATTTTTGTAATTGTTTTTCCTCAGTCTAGTCCTCCCTTCATTTTTTTACACTACTATCCCCAACATCCCTAACTAGCTTGTCTGCAACTCTTGGGCATGTTTGCTAGAGATTGGGGGTGTGTATGTTCGTTGAAGTTATAATTGAGACAATTCAATAAGATCAGCAAAACTTCATATTTCAGTGTGAAGGTGTTTTGGTTGAATAGGATTGAAGCTAGTTCTATCTTTCGCTATTCGACAAGAACAAAGGAACTACTCTAACTATCAATGACTAATCCAATTTTGGCTCAAATAAAATGGTCCTACTTACAATTGCATTACACAGGAGCAGGAATAATGAGCTTTCTTTTAAGAATCTCCTCCGCCAGCTGATTTTCTTGGACGTACTGATGGATCGTGTTATTTCATGAGGAGCCTGGATGGCTAGTCCTGGAGATGTTGGTGATAAAGCGTTTCCATCTTCAGGGACGCGAAGCGATACAGCATTTAAGTTGACAAAAGTGAGACCATAAATGTCTTTCTCCTGATGGTCCACTTTGCTTTCCCTTTTTAAGGGCTGCCGATGGAGGCCTTCAATTATGAAAATGTTCTGGAAAGTATGCTGGGCAATCATCAGCAAGGAATAGGTCAGGTTGAGGGCATTGATTGTGTCCCTTGGAGAACTGGCCACAGTGGCCACAATAGAGTAATAGGAAATGGCATATTGCCCTAAGGCTGCACCCATTAATAAGGCCACGTCAAGTGTTCTAGTTGGATTCTTCTCACGGTCCATGTCTCTCTTGTCAAATCTGTAAACAATGGAGCCCCCCACAGAGATGATGGACATCAGGCTGAGGCAGACAATATTGAAAGTGTAGTACATGGTGAGTACCTGATTCTTCACTTTAGCTTTATTTTTTGAATTGATCTGGATTTCATACACAATCAGGATTGCTATGCCCGACGCCATGATCAAGAGTCCCATTATGAAACCCAAAAAGTAAGTCCTCTTGAAAAGCTTAAACTTGAGATGATGAATGTGGTTGGAATGGTGGTCCATGATGCGGCCAACGTTCTTCCACATGACATAGATCATGGCAGAAGCAAAAAGGCTGTACTCAATATTGAAAGGATATAGCCAAAAGTAACCATTCTTGAAGATTTGGCAGATCTGACTTTTGCAGCCACAGTTGTCAGCGATGCCTTCTTTTAGATCAACTGCAGAGAGAGAAGGAAAGCAGGTCAAGACTAGCTCAGGAAGGATATTTTTTTTAAAAAAATGTTTTTTGATTGAAAATGACATTGATGCGCATGTGCGCACACGTGCAAGGCTCCACTTGCATGAATGGCGGGTGAGTAGTGAGCAAGCAAACATGCGTGTGCAAAGTTCCATTGGGCTAACACGCTGTGTGGATTGGAGCTGTGGATGGAGTGTGCTGCTGGACTCACATGCTGGGCCTGGTTGCCAAAATGGAAAGGTTGTGGACCTCTGCCTTAAAATAATGCCCTCTAGGTTCATTTGGTCATAATTCTTATGATTCCCAGTCAACTTACCCATTCTGTGTGAAATATTTCCATCTGGTTTTTTTGATTCAGCCTTATGCACTGATTCATCTGTTACAGCAGACATCCACACTGCTAGATTGGTGGTTAAGATGAGCATCAGTCCACATCTATCATAGAAAAATGGAGAATTCTGGTTTAATGAATAAGCTCTATTCATTCCAAACACCCAATCCCCCAGCAGTGGGATTCCAAATCTTTTCCTACCGGTTCTATTAGAGCGTGCTTCATGCGTGCATGAGCTTTGTGCACGTGCACAGCACTCAAAGACTGCTCTTGGTGTCAGTGCTGATGAGCTGAGCTTTTGTTTAGCTTAGCTGAGGCGCAGCAATCCAGTCTGCCGTGCAAATCAGCTGAGCTAAAAACCAAGGGAATAAAGGACAGGGAAAGGTGGGGGTGGAGCCAACCAGAGGTGGTATTTGCCAGTTCTCCGAACTACTCAAACTTTCCGCTATCGGTTCACCAGAACCAGTCAAAACTGTCTGAACATCACCTCTGAACCTGCCTAGGGAGGCAGAGCAAATAAACAGTAGTGATCAACCTTAACTGAAATACTTTAAGGATAATAGTAATTTAATTACATTCCAAAATGAGCCTAACTCTTCTGCTTGCAAATATTTCTCGAAAAGCTTCTTCCTTTTAATAGAAATTCTTTTCGGTTGGCTAATATAGCATCCTTAGGACCTGTCGTATTACTTTGTGCACCATGACATATTGGCAGAGTAGCAATTGGCAAGTGATTGTTCATTGTAATAAATGAACTTAGTAGTATATAAAGTAAGTTTAGTATAATTAAAAAAAACCACCTTAAAACTATTTCACTGCCAGAAATGTAAAGGAAAATCCTGGCTGTGTTATTATTTATTTCTATTTATTTATTAAATTTATTTGCTGCCTGTTTTGAAATGACTATCCAACTTTGCCCACTTTTATTCTAAAGCAAGAAAATACTCTATTCAGAATTATCACCAGCTTTGGTAGTTAATCTTTTTACATCATATTACCCAATGGAAAAAGTTTCAGAAAAGTGAAAAAGACAGGTGCTCCAGAAATCATTCCCAGATCCAACATGATCCTTGGAAAAGGTCTTTTACCTTAATTGTTGAACACTATTGCTAATATTACTACAGATAATGCACTGTGATTCTGTCTGCCCAAACCCATCCTATTTTTCATTCAGTCAGTGACACTTGCAGCTTAATAAGATGGAAAGACATATTTTTGAATGATCTTGATACTAACCTGGTAAGATCCAAATGTACATGAACACAGTCTTTGGCAGACACCCACAGAAAATAAGTCTAGAAAGAAAGAAAAAAAATGCAAGTTTTAAATTTGCTTTCTATAGCATCTTGTTATCCTGGGTATGAACAGGACAGGGATGGGTTGCTACCGGCATTACTGCTGGTTTGGCACGCAAAAAATGTGTGTGCACATTTGCACCTAAAAAGGTCTGTGCATGTGCTTGTTAGAAAAGGGAAAAAATTAAATTTTTCAATGAAGATTCTTCTGCGCATGCGTAGAACTGCAAATCAAGATGGTGCTGCCGCCGATAAAACTGGTTCAGGGGCGTAGCCGGCCAAGTTACTACCTACTCAGCTGAACCGGTCCAAACTGGTAGGAACCCACCTCTGGACCAGGATAGAGTTTACTAGACTTATTGGAACACATTTTGCAGGATTTTGCTATCCAAGTCCTAAAACACTTATTGCTACTATTTACAACACGGATCTCAGCCATTTTGATATATTTCAAGTTTTTTTAAACATTTTAGTTAGCTGCCACATCTCACAACCAGTTTATAGATTATCTAATGTTGGAAAGCACCCATCCTGGCAGAGAAAAAGGATTAAGCATGGATCTAACATGGAGTCACTGTGCAACTACAAAAGGGCTGCGACTGAACACCCCCCCCCCCAGTTCCTTGAAGCCTTATCTAATTGTTCCCAGGAGTAGGCTGCCAGACTGGGTAGATTCCTGTATAATAGACAGATTCTAATAAAGTGGCTAGCTTAAATCCTGTACATTTAGGTCTGTTTGTTTGTGCCTGACATTTAATTATACTTGAAATACTGGTGCACACAAACCAATCGTTTTGCTATGCTTATTCTAAGAAACAAAATATCACTGTAAAGCTACTCTCTTGAACTGAACAGCACCCTCTTACTATTTAGACTTTTAGATCTTTACCTAGCTTCTATTTTCTCCCTACTATATGTTTCCCCCAACCAATTAGCACTGGATTGCATATAAATATGTTTAAATACATAACAGTTACAAACTCACCTGGATAATTACAAAGACAGCCTGCACAACTGGATACATGATTTTGATGACTGATAAGCACTCGTAGTTACTGAAGTATCCTGTCTTGAATATATCCATCACCAATGTGAGGATTGCAAATAAGACCAAGCCACCTGTTTTGGAAAACAAATGTCATTATCTTCCCATAATAAATACACAATCCAAACTCTCTAATTGAGTTCTATGGACCTCATAGCTATGACAAATCTTCCTCAGCCCAGGAAAGAAGACAAGGGATGCCCCAATTCTGCCAAAACCTGAGCCCTACTTTATTGCACTACTAAAATTGTAAAACTGATTGATTAGTTTATAAATCTTCCCTTGAGCATGTGTGGTGTCCAACTTCAATGTTAGGGTTAAATCTTCTTTTCTACAAATAATGTTTAGGAGCAGCAGAAATCTTTCAAATCCTTAGGGCTATTTTATTCCAGAAATAGTAGTGGCACCATTTCCAAATTTTCACTGAGCACTGAGAGACTTATGGTACACTTTTTATCATTTTGCTCAGACAAGAGACCTGAGCTGCTTGTTCACTTTTATAATTTTCAATCCATACTCCTTATATGCCTGTCCAGAATACCATATTTAATCATAGCTTAGATATACAAAATCAAGCTTGAACTGGATCCAAGACTTAGCTTCGGAGCTGCCTGAACATTAGTGAGCTCTAATTACAGCCTAACTCTGCAGAGCTGTGATCAATATGATTCACAGCTTCCTTCCTGGTACTCGTTTACTCAAAAGCATTTAACATTTCCAATCTTATAAATGCAATGGGAGCCACTGAGATTTTATTTTTTAAACAAACACAGTCTGATGCACTGATAAACCCAGCACTCCTCCAGCATGACAATATTGGCTGTGCTTTGCTTTGCCTCTTATCAAATCAAAGGTACGCTTTAACCAGCATCTCCTTACCTCTTAGCCAGATAGGTCCTGCGTGATTGTCTTTGTAAGGGATGGCAGCCTGCCGCCTGGAGGTACTGAAGATATAGAAGAGCATCCAGATGATGGCAATCAGCATCACAATGGTGAGCATGAAAAAGGCATCGTAGTCATGCAGTTTGACGTTTTTGAATGCCCCACCACTGACAAGAGTACATGCTAGTAGCATCAGGTTGATGGCTAGCAGGATAGAGAAAACACGCCCGCCTTTTTTCCAAACTTCCTTGGGGCTGTGCGGCAAAGAGATAGAGGAGAACCTGTGTATATGTTGGCCCACAGGTGGTAAATGATCAGGACTAAAGCTGCTCTTGTCATCCTTCTGGCCGGAGCCCATGATGGAATCTTCACGTTTGATCTCACTGTTTTTCCTCACAGACACATCGGTCATGGTTTAACCAACACTAATATAGAACTGCCAGCATAAAGGAAAACAGAGAAAGAGAGAATGTGAGAACACTTCAGGAGAAAATGTATTCTTTTATATCAGAGTCCAGGTTTCTTTCAGATTTAGACTAATAATGGTTAGATATTAGGCAGATGGAATGGAAAACCGAATTTCAAAATGTAAGTCTACAGTATTTTAAATATGACTTGAGCCAGAATCTCTCAATAACATTTGGATAGAATTTCTTATATAACCCTTTCAATTTGAATGAAAGCCCGTTTTGTTATTCATATCTGGTTATGATAGATGTAACGACTTACAATATTTTGGTGAGACTTTATATACACATACAGTACATACATACACATAACATACATACAGTACACACACACACACACACACACACACACACACATATACACACAGAAATCAATTTCCCTTTTGATACCCTATTTGTTCACCAACAATTTACATTAATTTTTTGAAATTGAGGTCTCCATTTTCTGAACTCGATTCAAACCACATCATGATCCATCAATGAAAAGATGGAACAAATCTGAGTTTCCACCATCTCTTCTGGGGCTTGTGGGTCAAGCCTGGCTTATTTCTCAGCTGTTCAGTCAGGCTCATTATTAACACATAACAAATCCACCAAGTGCTTAGGCATAAAGCTCCCTTAATTACTCTTCTGGTCTGTAATAATTGGGGCAAGATGTTTTGTACCAGACTATGGCTATGGCTCCCGGAAGAACAGAAATCACTACAGACAAAATGCCATATTACAAACCCTTCTTTACTCCCAATCAAAAGCAGAGATTTATCTCAGGATATCATTGCATTGAGGAAAAACAAATCTTCAATTCAAGCCAATAAGGTAGATAAGGGGTCCTTGGTATTCTCTGTAACACCATCACTGATTATTTTACCTAGTTTGGGTAATGAAATGTCTGCAAGAAAACAGGCAAGCTCAGAGAGCACCAAGGACCCCTCATTTCAACCCTGAGCTACAAATATTCTCCTTTAAAGATAGATAATACCTTCCTCTACACTGGAATCTCTCAAACCTCTAAACCAGTCATGTTCTCTTCTTACATCACCAGTCTATGCATGTCCATTCAGAAATAAATCCTATTGCAGTCACTATGGTTTAGTAGTCCCAAATCACTATGTTTAAAATTAGGGTTGTATAAAACATGAGTCCCGTGGAATGAGAGGGACACAAAATGAAAATAAAAACTGTAAAAGTTAGTCCCTTTACTAATATTAAGCTCAGCAGTTATATAGCTAGGCAAGCAGAACGAAAATCATGGTTTTAGCCAAGCATCATCTCACCAACCTTTCTGCCTTCAGGTCGGCTTGTTGTTCTCACTGGTTTTGCACAAGCTTCCTTTTTTTGCCCCAGTTCACAACAGCCCTGAGATTTATATTTGTCCGGATGTCTTTTGATTTACACCATTAGTGAGGTTGACAGGACTGCTTCATAAATGTCTCAGAAAGGCTTACAGTACCCATTTTGGGCCTGAATTAAGTTTAGGGCAAAAAAAAAATCCCAACACGTGAGAGATTATAAGGATCAAGGTTACTTGATATGAAAATGGGAAGAAATCATCATAAATATCCTGCCAACAAAAGCAGAAGTGCAATTTTTTTTAATAAAAAACCACATGGGAAATTGTTCTTAATTTAGAAACTACCTGTCAGTCCTGAAAAAAAAGTGTCTCTCATGTGACACTTTTTGCATGCCATGTTCTTTAAAAGGCAGAAGTCTAAGGCAACAAAAACTTCAGATGCTGATGTTTGTATGTTGAAGGACGACCTTGGACCTTTTTCTATGAGGTGTCAAAGATGTGTGTCTCCTCCCCCACTTCTGAGACCACGTTAAGCCAGCCTTTTAAACTGCTAACTAAGCCAAACATAGAATCTAATTCACACATTCTGTTGAGCCAATTTAAACCCCATATTGGTTCAATGTTATATGTAAACCAGCCACTGTTTTTCCCTGGAGCAGTTCACTTCCCAACTGATGTGACATTCAGTAAGAGGATGAACATTGAAGAGCCCCCCAATTTTGAACACAGCTAGGTTAAGGCAACATCATCTGTAAATTTGTTTTACAAATATTTGTAAATCATTTTGTTCGCATTTGACTACTCTAGAGCAGTGGTCTCCAACCTTGGCAACTTTTAAGAACTGTGAACTTCAACTCCCAGAGTTCCTCAGCCAGCTTTGCTGAGGAACTCTGGGAGTTGAAGTCCACAAGTCTTAAAGTTGCCAAGGTTGGAGACCATTGCTCTAGAGTAGTCAAATGCGAACAAAATGTATAAAGACTAAAATGTAATTGCATAATTAATGGGTTTAAGTACTAAGCAAACTTAGGTAATTCAATAAATTACACCGCAAAGGTTAGTGTGCTATATAAACCACCATTGTGACATAATAATTAAAAATTCTAGATTAAAGAGTTCTGGGTTCAAATCCCTGCTTGGACACGAAGCTCCTGGATGGACTTTTGGCCTACCTTACATATTTGTTCCAAGAGAAAAATGCAATGGGAAGAATGCCTAGGGAGACGGCCCTGAATTCTTACAGAAAAGGCAGAAAGTAAATCTAAGGATATAAATTCCAGGTTAGCATAGATATGCCTAGCAGTAAACCTAGAAAAATGCCAGACAGGTCCAGCAGGCATTGGGGAAGATGTTTGTGTCTGTCAGAAGAAAAGGCTTGGCTTGCTGCTCCCTCTCATGGGGAATTTATAGCCTTCAGAATGCTTCTAGGCTCCCAGCATTCTCAGACCACACAGCCAATGGTGACAAAGGCTGTAAGCTGTAGTTCCCGAAGCCTGTAAGTTTCCCACCCAATTAAAATTTGATCTGTGCAAATCACCAGCTGAAGCTTTTTGAGATGATGATGGTGATCATCTACTAAGGCCCACTACTGTTAAAGAGACACTGTTGAAAAAGGGATTGTCTTCCTTCCATATTTTTTTTTAGTGCAAGGAAAAATTACAGTTGGGAAGTAAATGTATGCTATGTCATTTGAAAGCCTAGTGTATTTCTTTTTTGTCAGAATTTCACATCTTGGATTACTTGGAAGTTGGTTATTTTTACAGCAAAAGTCAGGAACAGTGGCTGTTCATTAATCAATGTCATGTTACCTCTGTATCCTAAAAGGAAAAAAATTAAAAATAGTTAAGTTTCCTAAGCTAGTCTTTAACACAGGACTGTCAAACTCCTGGCCCATGGGCTGGGTGTATCATGCACTGGCTGTGCCCACGCCTGGTTTAAGCGAAGGGGAAAAAAGTCCTGATAACGTCACATGACATCGCCATGAGGACGTGAGTTTGATACCCCTGCTTTAACATATCATTAACTCAAAAAGGCTGGAAGAAATAGAGCTTCTGGTAATTAACAATATTAAAAACAATCATGAGGAAAATGTCCTATAAATAAATAGTTTGCCAATTGCCAAAATGCTACAAGAGTTTCAAGTTCGCATATTTTTTGTGTGGTGTTGCTCAGTTGTGGAATTTGGATTTTATTTCTCATAAAAGGTTTCCCATGAATTTTATTTTCCCACTAGAGCAGACATTTTAACTGCTCATAGCATTCCTTCGCTGTTAGGATGATATTGGGCGGGTGATGAACAAATACATCAATAGCTTTCAGGCTCTCAGGAAGTCTGAACAAATGATTTTTAATGCAATTGTTAATTGATAATATATTTGTATTCTAATCGTATGGATCTTCATTCATACAACTACCTAATCATTTCCTTCCTTCCCCTACTGACCCATCCCTATTAATTTAAATTTTCCACACATCTGATGAAATCAGCTGTAATTCCGGAAACCGATACTAATGCAATGTTTTATTGTACGCTGAAAACGTACTAGCAGACTCTTTCTACTTCTCTAACAACAGATGGCGATAGAGGAGCAACTATTTCCAAAAGAGGGCCTTGCCATTCTTGTGGAATTCAGTTTATTATTTTGTATTTAACAGCTAAAGATTCTGTAAATGCACAAATTGAATCACATTGATGTAGTGATTAAAAAAAGGGGGCACAGTGAGTTATTGTTCTGCCTTAGGCAGGAAGCCAGCCAGGTGACCTTAAGGCACTCATTCTCCTTCAGCCCTAGAAACAAGGCAATCTTGCCTAGAAAACTGCAGGGACCAGTCCAGGCAGGTGTCAGGAGTCAACACTAACTTTAAGGCATATATTGTACCTGCAAAGAAAAAAAAGTAAATGAATGCAACAAAGATGTCTTGGATGCCCCCAAAATTGAAGATGAACTAAAGGCTACTAAATAGTAAATAGCAAGCAGCAACTGCCCAATCTTTTCTGAGCTCAGGAGCTAAGCAGGATTACCTGGTTAATGCATGGATGGGAGACCATATGACTATCGGCTAGACTGAGAAATTGTCAAAGAAAGCTAATCAGATCCATATTGTTCCAAGAAAGCTATTTGGAGACATCTTTTATTTAGTTTATGGCAGGAGGCATCTATGTACTACAGGGGTGGGTTGTTGCTGGTGTTACTGCGCATATGTGCAGTTGCCTTAAATAGGTCTGTGCATGCACAGAACATCAAAAATACCCAAAAAAACCCCATGCTGTGGCGACCAGGGAACTGGTTCAGTGGCGTAGCCAGCCTGGGTCGCTGCCAGTTCTGTGACCCAGGCCAACAATCCACTACCGGTTCGCCTGAACCAGTAGCAACCCACCTCTGATGTACTTCCGGTATATCAACAGGAGTCAAACTTGGCATAGTAGTATATTTTTTCTTTAGAGTCAAGCCCAGATACGTTATTGCTTAATAAATGAAATCTCTGATAGAAATTTCATGCAGGCTGATTGAATTATATTGGTGTAAGGGAAGGGAAACTAGTTACTTTAGAGCTGATACACTTTTGTGTCTTATTTTATCTGGGCCCAATGCATGCTACTTAAGATTAGGCTGCCTTTAGTAGCCTGTGTGCAAAGATGGTGGCCTGCCATGTGTCTGTTGGAGATAAGCTCATGCCTACTGTTGTGTAGTGGGGTGCCCAGTGTCAGACTGTCACCTGGAGCCATTCTCTAAATGGCTTCATAACACTGGCCTGGCATATAATTAATCTTTTGCTGGGCAGAGAGTCAGTATGATATAGTAGTTAAGGTCAGGGGTGAGTTCCTATACAGGTCGGTATTGTTACTGCTTTCTTCGCTCATGCACGTGCCGGCCACATGTTGCTGGCGCATGTGCAGTTGAGTAAATATTGTTCTGCACATGAACAGAAACATGTCGGCAACGGGATAAGAGACAT